CGCTGGCGGCCCACGTAAGCCGTGGCGTGGGGTTGCAATGTCTTCTCGCGTAAGATCCGTTCGCTTTTGTCGCTCATCTGTGTTTTAACCAAGGTCGCCTTGCTAATGTGCGGCCATAGAAAGGCTGCACAGGTCTGCCCCCCTTGCTCACAATTCTCCATGGGAGCATCTCGACTAGGCCCCACGGGAGCTCTACAATGCTCCTGCCCTGATCCAGGACGCCACACTGGCAATCACGGTTTACACGGTCCGTCCCTCGGACGCACAATTCTCCAGCGGGCACGCTTGCGACGCACATGTGACTGTTTTGGGCGCACCGTCGCCTAGATCTGGGACGCATCATCTTCCAGCGGGCACGCTCCGGATCCAGCATCCGTGGACCGAGCCGGATGGAGGCCAGATCCCAAGACGGGAGCTGGGGACACCCTCTTTTTGAACTGCACCATCCTCTGGATTGGGATCCGGGGAACTAGCTGGATTGAGAACAGGTCCGTAGATGACAGCTGGTGACCACCAAGGCCCCAAGTAGTAAACTCTGTGGTGAGATTTAGTATCAGGCCACCGTTAGAACTCTCGGGTTACCTCCCTCCTCCCACCCCGTCCTCTCTGGCGCATTCTGCCGGCTGGTGCATTTTGCTTGCTGTTGCATTTTGTCAGCTGGTGCATTCTCTCTCCTTCGATATTAGTGTTTTTGTTCCACCATACGGTAACAGTGACCTCCGATTGGCGAGTCCTTGCTGGAAACCTCCTTGCAGGACCGGGAAAGGAGCTGTCATTCGAATTTCGCCATGCAGCAGCAGCCCTAGTTGTGCATCGCGACTCGCGCTTGGGCGGTTTTGCCCGATACGCACTATGGCCAAGGACGCCTTTCTAGAGGTCCTTCAGCGCTGCAAGTCCCACCAGACCTCCGATTGGTGGGTCTTTGCTGGAAACCTTCTTGCAGGACCTCGACAAGGAGAAGTGTTGCAGCAGACTCGCAATTCTGAACTCCCGACATCTTCAGACGGCGCAAGGGCATGCCAGCATCGCCAGAGAAGGGCCTGGCTCCAAGAGTGCGTCAAGACGGCCCAAACAGGGCCCCGGACGGCCGACGATGCCCCAAAAACGACCCAAGAGGCCTCCAAGACCGCCCCCACCAGTGGCCCAAAAGGAGGAAATCGAGCGGGCTTCGAGAGCCGTGCGCTCAAGACGGCCCTAACGACCTTCGAGCTCGCCCCTAGACGGCCCGAAAGAGCCCTAATGGGGCCCAAGATGGGCCTAAGACAATTCAAGAGGGCCCAAAGAGGGCCCCCGAAGCGGCCTCGGAGGGCACTCGAAGGAACACAACACGGCCCAAGATATCCAAGAAGACTCCAAGACGGCCCAAGATGGGCCCAGCGCGGCCCCGAGAGGGCTCCGAGACAGCCCAAGAGGCTCCCAAAACCGTCCCAAGGTTTCCAAGATGGCCCAGACTGCTCCCAGACGGCTCCAAAAACGGACGCCAAAGGCCCCCAGTACCGCATTTTCAGCGGGCGTCCAAGAGGCTCCAAAGACGACCCAGGACGGCTGAAGGGCGCGGAACCTTTCGAATAATGCCCCCGAGAAGCCAGAGTCATCGAATTGGAGGCCTTGCTGGTGCGACGCAGATGGGTTTTCTTGATTTCGTTGCGCCGTGGTTTGGCCCCAGATGCGTGGCCAGGAAGGGAGGGGGCGGCTTTCGATACTCCGTGGTGTGGCCTTGATGGCGTGTATTTCGGAGCCAGACTCGGGCACAGTTCTTCGTTGCTGAGTTCCTCCTCCTCCGGTCCTCGGGCGAATCCAACGAAGCGCAAGAAACGTCGAATAAGCCCCAGGACTCTCCGACACGTCGCCGGGATCCCAACAGCTAATTGCCGCAAGTTCCTCTACCACCCCCGAAGGAGCTCCAGAATCGCCGCTGCATTCTTCATTGGCAACTTACGATGCGAGTTCCTTGGGCGCGTGGTTCGAGTGTGCGTATATAGAATGTCTCTCTCTCTCTCTCTCTTTCTTTCTCTCTCCCTCTCTCTCTCTATGTATATATGTATATACGTATATGCATGTGGATATGTCTATGTATGGATGTATGTATGTATGTATGTATGGGTGTACGTATGTATGTATGTAAGTATGTATGGTTGTATGTATGCATGCATGTATGTATGTATGTATGTATGTATGTATACGTGTGTGTGAACGTATGTATGTATGTATGCATGTATGTATGTATGCATGTATGTGTGTATGTTGTGTGTATGTATGTATGTATGTATGTACGTATGTGTGTATGTATGTATGTATGTATGTATGTATGTATGTATGTATGTATGTATGTATGTGTGTATGTATGTATGTATGTATGTATGTATGTATGCATGTATGTATGTATGTATGTATGTATGTATGTGTATATGTAAATGTGCATGCAGATGTAGATGTAGATGCATACGTATATACATGCGTACACACATATATATATATATATATATATGAATATATGGCTATGCGTATGCATGTGCATATGGATACGTGCTTGTCTGTGTGCATGTATATGTGTGGATATGGATATGTATGTGTGCATTTGCATGTATATGTATATTCATATGGTTATGCATATGTATATGTGCCGGCAAAGGTATATGTATGTGTAGAGGTGTATGTATATGCCTTTGTGTGTATGTATATGTATGTGCGTGCACGTGTCTGTGCTTGCGCGTGTGTACGTGTCGATGCGCATGCGTGCCCGCATGTGTGCCAGCGCGCGCATGTGTGCACGAGCTGGGCTGGCAGCAGGGACGCCCATCGGCGCTGAGCGCCCGCCTCCGTGGGCGTGCACCCCGCCCCCCTGGGGCCTCGCCGATGCCCATCCGCCCCGTCGGCCGCTGCTGGGCCCCACGGCCTCGCACCGTCCTCCCTCCGCGCCCCGCTCCGCACGGCACGGCCGCAGATCGTTGCCGCCAGCGCTCACCGAGCGCGTTCCATTGCAGCAGGTTCGTGCGGCGTTGGCGCGCTAGCGACGCCGGCGAAGGTGTGCAAGGTTGAATTCTGCGACGCGGCAGCACCGATGGACACGGTAACGCCATGGAACTCCGCTGAATTCAGTTTTGAACGATCGGGGCCGCGAGCGATTCAAGGTCGAACGATCGACGCGGTGTCAAGCACCTTGGCGCACGCCGACGCCACACGAACTTGCCGTACTCGCAAAGTGCCTGCTCACAAACGTTCGAAAAACAGTGGTTTGCCTCGATGTAATGTATCGTAAATCCCCCGCGGCGGATCCTGGCCATTTGCAAGCAGTTCCTTTGCAAGCAGTGGAGCGCGCTTGTCTAAGCATCCTGGTGGACACAGGAGGCACAGGATTTCTGGGAGGTCTGCTTCCCCTGACAGTGCTTGTTCGGAGGAAGTCTCGACGGTGCGCGATATTCGGCGTACGGCTCCCGTGAGAGAAAGAGCGGTGTTTGCGATCAGGTGGCAGGGTCCCCGAAGCATTATTTTAACGCGACCAAATCGCTTGAGAACTTCTTGTGATCGCAAGGACGTTCCGCATTGCCTGTGCTCTGCGCTGTGGACCCTAAGGATATGGCTCCGTCAATTTTGCTCGCATCTCAAGGACCATGTATTGGAGCGGTGGTCATGGCCAACACGGGGTCACTCAGCCCCAGTGGGTCACGGGGCCAACACGGGGTCACACCAGCCAAGTTAGTGTCCCGAGGGCTTCCGAGAGGGGTCACACAACATGCCCGCCATCACGGGTGTGTGTGTGTGTGACCGCCGCAAGTTGGCAACGTCACGAAATAGACGTGCGATCAAATGATGGGGTTTTCATGGAAATTCTTTCCTTGTCGATAAGATGCTGAGGCCCCCGAAATGTTTCCTTACCTGAAGGCGTTAGGCCACTTCCGCTGGCATCCTGCCCTGAGCATCAGGGACACCCTCGTCATCTTCGCCCTCTTCCTCCTCGTTCTGCTCCTTCTCCTTCTCCTCCTCCTCCTACTACTACTGCCACTACTACTACTACTACTACTACTAATAATAATAATAATACTCATACTACTTCTACTACTTCTACTACTACTACTACTACTACTACTACTACTACTACTACTACTACTACTACTACTACTACTACTACTACTACTACTACTACGACTACTACTACTACTACTACTACTACTACTACTACTACTACTACTACTTACTGCTGCTACTGCTTCTGCTTCTACTTCTACTTCTACTACGACTACTACTACTACTACTACTACTTATACTACTACTACTACTACTACTACTACTACTACTACTCTACTACTACTAATACTACTACTACTACTACTACTACTACTACTACTACTACTACTACTACTACTACTACTACTACTACTACTACTACTACTACTACTACTACTACTACTACTACTACTACTACTACTACTACTACTACTACTACTACTACTACTACTACTACTACTACTACGACTACTACTACTACTACTACTACTACTACTACTACTACTACTACTACTACTACTACTACTACTACTACTACTACTACTACTACTACTACTACTACTACTACTACTACTACTACTACTACTACTACTACTACTACTACTACTACTACTACTACTACTACTACTACTACTACTACTACTACTACTACTACTACTACTACTACTACTACTACTACTACTACTACTACTGAGGCAATTTTCGGGCCGTCCCTAGGGCCGCCTCTCTCTTGAGTAAGCCCTTTTGGATCCCTCGGGGCTCCACTGGGTCAGTCTTAGTCTTCCCATGAGCAATACGTACTGGATGTTCTTTGAGGCATCTGGACGCGTCAAGGCGCCTGCAGACCCATTGAGGGTTTATGGGGTATCTTTGCTGCCTCTGTGATTTTTAGGGGGCTGGGAGGAGACAAGGAGGAAGGAAGGAGGAGGAGAGGGGGGAGCAAGGGGAAGGAGTGAGGAAATCAGATTTTCGGTGGTGAAGTTTAGCCCTGGAATCGGATCCTTCGCGGTTCAATCCGAATCGTTGCATTGCGAATGGGGTATGGTTCGAGCCGATTTGGGTCAAGCGTCGGGGCTCGAACGACGCAGCGGCCGCAGCCGGCATGGCGGGGGTGGCGCCACAGGCCCGCGACGCGTGCACTGCGACGACGTGGTCGGGCGCAGTCGTGGTCACCGTGGCCACGTTGCTGTGGCACTGGCTGCGGCAGCGGCAGCAGTTTTCAGAAAAGGGCGCCCGGCACACAGACCGCAGGACTTCTACCGCGGCGGTGGAGAAGCAGTCGGGCCAGCGGGTCAGCGGCAGCACGGCCGCGCAAGACGCCGCCACTTGTTGGGCGCGGGGCTATGGGCGCTACAAGCACTGTGGCCTCCGTGTAGATCTGATGGCCTCCACCGAGCCGCCAGTACTTTCGCGGACGAACATAGACATCCCCCTGCCAGACCTCAGCGCCGAGTGCAAGGAGAAAGTGGACTCGTTGTCTCGCCGCGTCGTGGACCTCACTGAGCTGGCCAACATAGGGCCTGGGCTGGGCGGCCACCGCACGGACGGGTCCACGCTGGTGCGGTACCTCCGCGGGAACAAGTGGAACGTGGATAAAGCGGAGGAGCAGCTCCGCACCGCCGCCAGTTGGCGGCAGCAATGCGACATGGACCAGATTTTCACGCGCTGGGACTTAGAAGCCTACGAGCGCTGCCTGGCTCCGTGGTGGCTGTCCGGCGGTTTCCTGGGCCACACCAGGCACGGCCAGCCCGTGGCGCTGGAGCGGATAGGGCACTGCCACTTCCCAAACCTCGTGAAAGCCATTCCCTGGGAGGTGTTGTTGAGAATAGATGTTGTGTCCTGCAACCGGCTGCTCGGCGCACTGGAGGAGGATGCACTGCGCCGAGGCACGCCTCTGATGCCAGCCCTTATCATTATAGACGTCCACGGCTTCGGGCTGGATCAAGCCCAATTCCAGGCCGCTCGGACGCTGGCCCGGATCGTGAGAAGTCGCAATCTGCTTCTCACGGAAGTGACTGACAGGGTGCTCGTCATCAGGGCTCCACCCGTTTTCCAGAGGGCTTGGTCGCTCTTCAGTTACTTGCTGGACCCTGGGACCCGGGACAAGTTTGAGGTGGCCGGCGGTGCAGAGGATTCTTTGCAGGTGTTGAGAAAGTACGTGGACAACGATTTGATCCCCGAGTACCTTGGGGGCAAGCTGAACATTGGCGGCGACCCGGAGTGCTCGCTGCAGCTTGCACCAGGCGGCCCCCCGCCGCAGCAGGCGATCGACCGTTTGTTAGAGCTCACGGTTCGAAATGGCGTCGTGATGCCCGCGGCGAAAGAATGTTTGGCGGTTTCTAGCTCCTCCCGCTCCAGCTCTCCTCGAAGTGCCGATATGTCCGCCCTGGACGAGGACGCCAAGCCCAGGTGTTGTTGCGGTGCCTGATTTCCTCACCCTCGGCTAGCAATCAGCCCCTCTTAGGCCTAGGCCGCCACTAGCAGGGATCCCAAACGGAGAGCGCCCGCAGAGTCTCGATTCGCTGTCGCACATGGTATAGAGAGCCTCTTGGCAGCTTTGTTTGAATTGTTTGAAGGAACGCACCAGCCTCATCGGGCATCATTGAGCAATATACATAAGCCCAGCTTTTGTAATCTTCCAATCGCATTCTCAGAGTCGCCTCACACTGACTGTGCGAAGCCGATGTCGGCCGTTGCGCTGGCTAATCAGAATTATTGGCGCTTCGCGTATCCCCACCAGTGTCCCGGACTTTGCTTTCGCCGCCTGACCGTCGTCTCGCGGCCGCGACCGAAAAAAAGTATCCCCACCAGTCCATCCAGAAACGATGCCCAGGCGAGTTGCCGCTCAAAATCTCGTTGGATGTCTCTTGAAAGTTTCTTGGAGGCCTCTTGGAGCATCTTGGGGGCCTATTGGCGGTCCCGGGGGCCTCGTGGAGCGTCTTGGGTGCCTCGGGGAGCCTTTTGGGGGTCTCGTGGGAGCCTCTTGGAGGCCTCTTGGGCGCCTCTTGGGAACTCCTGGGCGCCTCTTGGTGCCCTCTTGAGGTGCTCTTGGGTGTCTCGGGAGCGCTCCTAGGGGCCATCTTGGAGGAGATCGATCAAAAAAGATAGGAGCTCCAGTTACATTCCCCCCTCTGGAACCTCAAAAATCGCATCTTGGGCCCCTCTTGGGCGCTCTTGTAGCGCTCTTGGGCGCACTTGGGGCCGTCTTGGGGCTCTCTTGGGCCTCTCTTGGGGCCCTCAGGGGCCCCGTTGGAGCTGCCTTGAGGCCTCGGAAGACCATCGGATGCGGAAAAGCGAGGAGGCATAAATTATGTTGTGTCCTTGGGTGTTTTAAGGATGTTGGCCTCTTGGCGGCCTCCTGGGGAGGCTCCGTGGCCACTTGGAGCCGTCTTGGAGCGGTCTTGTGGCTCTCTTGGAGCATATTGGGAGCCATAGTAAGCCATCCTGGGCTATCTCGAGCCATCTTGGAGGTCATCTTGGACGCTCCAGCGCCTCACGAAACCCCCCCTCCAGGTGCAGGCAGGGGGGTAGGGGGAGGGGTCAAGCTACCCACCCGCCCGCAAGCCGTCTAGCTCATTCCTACCCGCCCTCCCAGCACATGAGTAACACCCGAGCCTGAGCATGTTCAGCGGTCGTCTTTGGATGGACAGCTACTGGGAACCAAAACCGACCCCATGTGCGCGACGTTGGGGCCCCAGCGTGCCAGGCACGACTGGTGCACCAGATGCGCCACATGTTCCACGTGTGCCAGGTGCGCTGCATACTCCAGCCGCGCCAAGTGCACCACGTTCGAGGCACGTGCAGAGTGTGCCAGGTGCGCCTGCGCACGAAACAGCACACATCCGGAACCATGTCGGCTCCCACCATCCTTGTCGAAAACCAATGCCCATCATTGTGTCTGGTGTGCTTGCGCACAGCAGGCCGTACGCAACCACCCCCGCCGTTCCTGTCAAAAACCACTTGGCAGTGATCGCGGGGTGGCCGCGCATGATCCAGATTTAGCCGCGAGGTGCATGTTGTATATTTTTTTGTCAGCGATGGTAGCCCTGCGCACAGCAGGGAATATGCTGAAACCCCCGCCGTCCCTGCCAAAAACAATACACAGTGTTCACGGGCCTCACGAACATGACTCCACACGTTGCCCCAAACTGTACTTTGTATTGTTTTTGACAGGGAAGGTGGCGGGGGGTCGCATCGGGTTGGCCGCGCATGCTCCAAATGTGGAGGCAGAGTGCGTTTTTGATTTTTTTTGTCGACAGGGATGGCGTGGGGATGACCCGCATGGGGTTGGCATGGTTCTGGGTTGACGGCCAGCCGGGTGGGGGAGGGGGTGTATACTAATAGGGAACAATGATAAACCACTCCCCGAAGGGGAAGAGGGAGGCGTTGGAAGAGAAACCGCTCTAGACCACCTACGCCCAGAGGGCTGGTGGGATTGGGAAGGCTCCGTTGCCTTGTGGAGCTGGTTCAGGGGCGGTCTGGGAGCGTCCTGTAACATGCAAGGATCCATGTACAGCCATCTTCGGATATCTTGAGCCATATTGAGGGTAATTTTGGACTCTCTGAGGCGCTCTTGGAACCATCTTGGGCCATCCTGGATGCTCCAAGTCGCCGTTTGGGCCCTCTTGGGGCGCTCTCGGGCGCTCATCGGGCCGGCCTGGGGCGATCTTGGACCTCTCTTTGCGTCATTTCGGGGCCCATTGGAGGCACGATGGAGCTAATCTTCCGCCAACCTGGACCCTCTTGAGGCCATCTTGAACGAGATCGACCAGAGAAGGGAGTGCTTTAGAGCCGCCCCTCGATAGCAGTCTAAATCGCGTCATGATACCCTATTGGGGCGCTGTTGAGACGCTCTTGGGCGCTCTTGTGGCCGTCTTGGGGCTCTCCTGGGGCTCTCTTGAAGCTCTCTTGGTACTTTCTTGGGCTATCTTGGAGCCGTCTTGAGGCCTCGGAAGGCCATCGGAAGTGGAAAGGCGAGAAGCCAATCCAGAGACGATGCCCGGGCGAGTTGCCCTGATCAGGGAAGTGAGGGAGCACACAGAGGAACAAAGGGCTTGGGAGGCCGTCGTACCCCAAGAAGGGGAAGGATGGCGGAGAAATAGGAGGAGGAGGACAGGAAGGAGCAGGGAAAACAGGAGAAGGAGGAGGTGGTGGAGGAGGAGGGAGAAGGGGAGAAGGGAGGAGGGAGTTGGAGGAATAGGACATTCCACAGCTCATGGATCGAATCGTTCTGGTCTGAGGCCGCCGCGCTAGCAGAATGCTCGACGTTTTGGTCGACAGGTCGTGGGTAGATGAGGTGTGCAAGGTTAGACTCATCGCCGGCCAGTCTTCATAGACTTTGAGCCGCAGTCCAGGTCCAAGGAGGAGGATAACAAGAAGGGCAGCCCATCCAAAGACGATGCCCAGACGAGTTGCCCTGACCAGGGAAGTGGGGGAGCATACAGAGAAACGAATGGCTGGAGAAACCGTCGTACTCCAAGATGGGGAGGAAGGATGATGAATCAGAGGAGGAGAAGGAGGAAGAGGAGAAGGAGGAGGAGGAAGAGGAGGAGGAAGAGGAGGAAGAAAGAGGAGAAAGTGGAGAAGGATGATGATGATGATGATGATGATGATGATGATGATGAGGAGGAGGAGGAGGAGGAGGAGGAGGAGGAGGAGAAGGTGGGGGAGGGGACGAGGGAGGAGGGAGGAGGAGGAGGAATACGCGGACGAGGAGGAGGACGAGCAGGAGAAGGAGGAGGAGAAAGAGGAGGAGGAGGAGGAGGAGGAGGAGGAAAAGGGCGAGCAGAAGAGCCAGAAGCTTCTGAAATGCGATGCCTCTCGGAGTCTCTTCGGATGTTTGTTGTAAGCCTTTTGGAAGCCTCTTTGAGCGTCTTGGGGGCCTCTTGGCGGTCCCAGAGGCCTCTTGGAGCGTCTTGGGTGCTTCGGGGAGCCTTTTGGGGCCTCTCGGGGGTCTCTTGGGAGCCTCTTGGGCGCCGCTTGGGCGCCTGTTGGGGCCTCCTGGGCGCCTCTTGGGGCCATCTTGAAACGCTCTTGCTCTTGGAGCGCTCTTGGGGCGCTCTTGGGCGCTCCGTCTTGGGGCGCTCCTGAGCCTCTCTTGGGGCCCTCTTGGAGCCATCTTGAGGCCTCGGAAGACCATAGAAAGCAAAAGCGAAATTCATTGATTTTCCCTGGGCGTTTGAAATGTGTTGGCCTCTTGGCGGCCTCCTGGGGAGGCTGCGTGGTCACTTGGAGCAGTCTTGAAGCGGTCTTAGGGCTTATTGGAGCATCTTGGGAGCCAGATTGAGCCATCTTGGAGGTCATCTTGGGCTCTCTGAGGCCCTCTTGGAGCCGTCTTGGGCCATCTTAGATGTTCTGACCGCTCGCGGGGCACCCCGTCCAGGTCCAGGGGAGGGGGCAGGGGGAGGGGTCAAGCTACCCACCCGCCCGCAAGCGGTCTAGCTCAATCCCATCCGCACTCCCAACGCATAAGTAACACCCAAGCCTGAGCATGTTCAGCGGTCGTCTTTGGATGGACAGCTACTGGGAACCAAAACCGACCCCATGTGCGCGACGCTGGGGCGAGGTGCGCCACGCGTGCCAGGCGCGCCACGCGCGCCAGGCCGAGCGTGCCAGGCACGCCTGGTGCGCCGGATGCGCCACGTGCTCCGCGTGCGCTAGGTGTGCCGAATACTCCAGCCGCGCCAGGTGCGCCACGTTCGGGGCACGTGCAGAGTGCGCCAGGTGTGCCAGCGCGCGTGACAGCACACATCGGGAAGCATGTCGGCCCTCGCCATCCGAGTCGAAAACCGATACCCATCATTGTGTATGCTGGACCTGCGCACAGCAGGCCACGCGCCACCAGCCCACCCCCCCGCCGTCCCTGTCAAAGACCACTTGACAGTGATCGCGGGATGGCCGCGCATGATCCAGATTTAGCCGCGAGGTGCATTTTGCATTGTTGTTTGTCGGCGATGGTAGCCCTGCGCACAGCAGGCAACATGCTGACACCCCCGCCGCCCCTGTTCAAAACCGTACAAGGTGCTCGCGGGCCTCACGAACATGACTCAAGACTTTGCCCAAAGCGTCCTTTGCATTGTTTTTGACAAGGATGGTGGGGGGGCGCATCGGGTTGGCCGCGCATGCTCCACATGTAGAGGCAGAGTGCGATTTGTATTGTTTTTGGAGGGGATGGTGTGGGGCGGGCCCGCATGGAGTCGGCATGGTTCCGGATTGGCCGCGGGCCGAGTGGGGGAGAGGGTTGTATACTAAGAAGGAACAGTGATCAAGGCACCCCCTAGGTACCAAGCCGTTTAGCTCACTCCCATCCGCCTTCCCAACACATGAGTAACACCCGAGCCTGAGCACGTTCAGCGGTCGTCTTTGGATGGACAGCTACTGGGAAATTACGCTACCGAGGAACCCCACATACTTATATTATGGCTGGAGTGATGATAGCTGAAAAGAAGCATGTGAGAATGATGTTGGTGGCCGTTCCCTGCGCGCCCCCTCTGATGTCGAGAAAATGAGACGCTTGCTGCGCCGTGCGAGCCTGCAACGGATAGAGACCGCACCCCACGCGCACCCCCCTCTGTTATCGAGACTTTGCCATGCCTGCCGCGCCCTGCACGCCTGAAACGCATAGAGACCGCACCCCCTGTGCACCCCCTCTGGTGTCGAGAATTCCCACGCCTGCCATGCCCTGCGCACCTGCAACGCATAGAGACCGCACCCCCTGTTCACCCCTCTGGTGTCGAGAAAATGCCGCGCCTGCCGTGCCCTGCGCGCCTGCAACGCATAGAGACCGCACCGCCTGTGCACCCCCTCTGGTGTCGAGAATTCCCACGCCTGC